AGATAGCCCTTTTTTTTTTTTAGTTTTGTGTTTAATTACAAACGAATATACTTGGCAGTAAAACTCGTATCATTTATACTGTTTTCCCCTCACTAACTTGTGTATTCAGCTTGTTATTTAAGTATAAGTTAAATATAAGTGCAACTAGACGTTGTTACAACAACATATTAACACCTTACCAAAAACGTTTTGTTTGTTTGTTCGTAATTAAGCACAAAGCTACACAATGGGCTATCTGTGCTCTGCCCACCACGGGTATCGAAACCCTGATTCTAGCATTGTAAGTCCGCAGACATACCGATGGACCACTGGGGGGGGATTAAATGGTTTAACGTTAGGTTGAAGAACAACATTAATATATGTGTGTATTTATTGATAGTATTAGGTACGGTAAAGTTTAGCCCTAACCAATTTAAAGCAAAAAAAAAACGTACACATGTTACGATGTTGATTTATTTCTATCGAATATAGGCCGTACTTATTAATAAAGGCTTAACAGATTTTAGGCTAAGAGAAATAAACTTTTATATTATTCCATAAATGCTGTATTTAAAGAAGTACTGTTGTAATAAAGATACTGACTTGTCTACTAATGTTTTGCGGGTCTCTGCTGGTATAACAATAATTAACTGAAAGAAATTCGCCCGAAAAAAAAAAAGGGGGCCAGGAACTTCAGTTTTTTTCAAAACCTAGGTAGATAACTTATATTGTTACGATTTAAATATCGTGTTCTTTGTGGTAGAAATGCTAATGTCGTGTCATCTATCTTTCAGATCGAACGAAATGAAAGTCTTTATGAACGATTTAGAACGAGCCAATCAGGTGAGAGCCACGTTACTTTACTAATACTAATAAATAAATAAAAAAAAAATTCCCTTTCAGTAAAACAAGTGTTAAATGTTGCACCTGAAAAACTATATAAAAAATTAACAAGAAAACTTCTAATGAGGAGTATTAACTTTTATATGAGGACCTAGTAACTTTCTTAAGGAGGAGTGTAATAACATAAATAAAGGTGTAATAATTTTTTTACCGTTACATCATTAGATTCTATAGTAAATTCACGATACAAGAAGTTCACTTCCTGGTGCAAAAGAAGTTCACTTCCTGATTTATCTATTTCATTATTCTTGGCCCGGCATGGCCAGGTGGCTAGGGCGCTCGACTCGCAATCTGAGGGTCGCGGTTTCGAATCCCCGTCACACCAAAACAAAACATGCTCGCCCTTTCAGCCGTGGGGGCATTATAAAGTGACGGTCAATCCCACTATTCGCTAGTAAAAGAGTAGCCCAAGAGTTGGCGGTGGGTGGTGATGAATAGCTGCCTTCCCTCTAGGCTTTCACTGCTAAATTAGGGACGGTTAGGGCGGATAGCCCTCGTGTAGCTTTGCGCGAAATTCAAAACAACCCAAACCACTATTCTCATCCCATCCTTCGGTGGGTCAGAGGTAAATTAACGGACTTCGAAACCCGCATCGGAAAGAGCGCAGAGATTCCCGTGTGTAGGTAGCACAACAACAACAAAATTATCCTGCGCGGTTTAAATGCATGTGTTTTCTAGCTAAGACTGTTAACATATTGAGCCGAGTATATTCCGATCAATATTAGAATTGTCTTGATGTTCGAATTAGCCTGGGAGCAATATAACCTATTTAAACTATTTTATAACGAGTCAAGTTTTAAAACTAATCAATAATAAAATGTTCAGACAATTTCTTAGAAATAATGTTTCATATTATATTATATTATATATTTCACTTGAGTTTACACGCGCATCTCATTAGATGAAAATATGAGATTATTCCTAGTGATTGTTACTAGGAAACGAGAAACAAAGCACGTCATTTGCACAACTAAGATCTGGTAACAGAAAACTACTTACCCACATAGATTTTGAGATGCTTAGATAGAGTAATTAATTAACTAAATAACGGCTTGATTAGCGTGTACTGTGCTCGCTAATATTTAATGTTACTGTTTTTTTTTTTGTTTTCCTAACTCTATAAATTGAGAGAAAGAATAAAAAAGTGGCTCAGTTGTAAGTCTGTAAAAATCGGGTTTCGATACCCGTGGTGGACACAGCACAAATGGCCCATTGCGAAGCTTTGCGCTTGTTTGTTTGTTTGTTTTAAATTTCGCGCAAAGCTACACGAGGGCTATCTGCGTTATCCATCCCTAATTTAGCAGTGTAAAACTACAGGGAAAGCAGTTAGTCATCACCGCCCACCGCCAACTCTTGATCTACTCTTTTACCAACGAATAGTGGGATTGACCGTCACATTATAACGCCCCCAAGGCTGAAATGGTGAGCATGTTTGACGTGACGGGGATTCGAACCAGCGACCCGTATAGCTATAACCCTCTGATGTTCCCTTGTTCTGCTGATTAATGTACATTAGTTTCATATGGTACAGCTATAACCCTTTGATGTTCCCTTGTTCTGCTGATTAATGTACATTACTTTCATATGGTACAGCTATAACCCTTTGATGTTCCTTTGTTCTGCTGATTAATGTACATTAGTTTCATATGGTACAGCTATAACCCTCTGATGTTTATTTGCTCTGCTGATTAATGTACATTAGTTTCATATGGTACAGCTATAACCCTCTGATGTTTACTTGCTCTGCTGATTAATGTACATTACTTTCATATGGTACAGCTATAACCCTCTGATGTTCCTTTGTTCTGCTGATTAATGTACATTAGTTTCATATAGTACAGCTATAACCCTTTGATGTTCCTTTGCCTTTTCCATGAGAGTAACTGGGAAATTGGTGTTTGTTTCCAGTCGTTGACAAAGTAATGTCTTGTCTGTAACTTGAAAGGCGTCATAACAAGAGAGAGAGAAATAAATAGTTAAAATATGATAATTATGGGGGGTGGGGTGAATTGTTAAATTATAATAACTAGCAGAAACTCCACCCTGGCTCGGATTGTGCTGGTATAAAGTTTAATGTTTTTATGTATTAAAAGTGGTACCCTTTATTGAAAAAAATATTTTTTTATAAGTACTCCATATTTTTAGTACTGCGTTTACGAATTACATGAATAAAGATATAATCAAACCTTCACGTACTGTCCTAGTGAAAGTCGTATTCTTGTTGTGAGGAGAATAATTTTATTTAAAATTGTATTCTGTGATAAAGAAATGGTTGTTGCACATACCGTAGTTATTTTTCTAACTGTCTGAATATTGAATACCCAAAGTTTTAAATTTTTTATTGATTTTTGTTTGTGGTGCCATTCAATAGATGGCGCCACATCGGTTTTTATTTTTATTTCGGTCACATACATAAATAGATACATATATACACGTTACGTCCATTATAGTAAGATTGTGGAACGTACTTTGGGTACAATATGGCTTCTGATTAATATCTATAAAATTATAAATCACACTAGAAACACTGGGATCCTGATGATTCTAGGAATATTGTTAATTTAATTTACTTTTTGTCATAAGTCCACAGTTAATTAACTTTGTATTCTTGGTTTAGATGAAACTTCACAACCTGCGTCTTATAACTAGCACACATCAATGTACCTTCTCTGACAAAGGGGAACTTGTAACGAAACGTGCTTCCTTATAGGTGGCGATGTCCTTGCTATAACAAGTTAATTACTATAAGACAACTTAAAGTCAATTAAAATATAATTATTTCATTATGTCGGGGAATCGGAGCTTAATGGTTTTGTGATACTTTCATGACGACTTCTTTAATTTAACATTTGTACTTAGAGAGAATGAAATTAATGTTAATCTTTATATATGAGTCAGCCATATTTGATTTAATTCCATGAAGTGTTACTTGCTGGGAATGTTTTTAGTTCGTATATGGGGATTCCATCCCACCGATTGACTGACAAGGGATGAATTGTTATTCAAAACTTTTCTGAGCGAGATCTTATAATGATATATCAGATTTTCATGTTGAGGTGGGGGGGGGGGTAGCAACTCTAGCACTGAATGAATTAAAATGTACTTAGTCGACTTGAAAGTGTAGCTAATATACAATTTTAAATAACATGTAAATATGCTTCGAACTTCAGAATGTAAACTTTAAAAAAGTTATTTCCTTGACTATCGTAACCGTTACGTAAAGATAAAAGGAACCGATTAAGACCGATCTTCAGCCTAAGTATTAAATAACTTATAGGCAGGAATTATACTATCAATGTGTACCTTATACAAGTCTCCTGAACCAATGATTAGCTTTAAAAAACTCGTTTGTGAAGAACTGTAAAAAATTAAACGATTGTTTGTTTGTTTTTACTCAAATGTATTAAGCTAAAAAAAAAACTTTTTATAATGAATCTTTCTTCCATTAAGAGGCCCGACACGGCCAGATGGTTGCGATCGACCCGCAATTTGAGAGTCGTGGGTTCGAATCCCCGTTCCACCAAATATGCTCGCCCTTTCGTTATAAAGTGATGGTCAATCCCACTATTCGTTGGTAAAAAAAAGTAGCCCAAGAGTTGGCGGTGGGTGGTGATGACTAGCTTCCTTCTCTCTAGTCTTAAACTGCTAAATTAGGGACGGCTAGCGCAACTAGCTCTCGTGTAGCTTTGCGCGAAATTCATAACAAACAAACAAACAATCTGCCATTAGGATGTTTATATCATCGACAAAAAAAATACCTTTTAGAAAATG